TCTATATACTGTGTTCTTCATTCTGTAAACTGTATTCTATATTATGTATTCTGTATCATTTATACAAAATTCTGTTTTCTGAATTCCATGTTCAAATTCAGAGTTATGTATTCTGAATTCTATATTCTATATTCTGTGTTATACTTTCTGTATTCTATATTCTATATTCTGTTTTTTATATTCTATATTCTATATTCTGTGTTCTACATTCTATATTCCACTTTCTATTTCTGTATTCTATATTCTATATTCTGTGTTCTACATTCTTTTTCTATATTCTATATTGTATATTCTGTATTCTATAATCTACGTAATGTGTTCTGCATTCCGTTTTCTAAATTCTGGGTTCTGCATTCTGTATTCTATATTCTTTATTTTGTGTTATACATTGTGAATTCTACATGCGATATTCTGTATTCTGTATTCTATATTCTATGTTCTCTCTTCTGAATTCCATGTCCTAATTCTGGATTCTTTATTCTGTATTCCATATTCTAATGTTAGTGTTCTAGATTCTGTATTCTACATTCTGTATTCTGTATTCTGTATTCTATATTCTATATCCTGTCTTCCGCATTCCATCTCTAAATTCTGGGTTCTGTAATCTGTACTCTATATTCTATATTCTGTGTTCTACATTCTATATTCTACCTTCTATAATCTGTTTTCTGTGTTCTCTATTCTAAATTCTGTGTTATGAATACCATTTTCTAAATTCTGGCTTCTGTATTCTCTTCTATTATTCTATATTCTTTGTTCTACATTCTATATTCTGCATTCTATATTCTGTACCCTATATTCTAAATTCTGTGTTCTGAATGCCATGTTCTTAATTCTGCGTTCTGTATTCTCAATTCTATATTCTATATATAGTTTTCTAAATTCTATATTCTACATACTATATTCTGTATTCTGTATTCTATATTCTATATTTTGTGTTCTACATTATATATTCTACATTTTATATTTTGTATTCTGTATTTTATATTCTAAATTCTGTGCTCTGCATTCCATATTCTAAATTCTGTGTTTTGTATTCTGTATTCTGTATTCTATAATCTGTGTTCTGTATTCCATATTCTAAATTCTAGTTTCTGCATTCTGTATTTTGTATTCTATATTCCGTGTTCTAAATACTATATTCTACATTCCATTTTCTGAATTCTGTATTCTATATTATATGCTCTGAATTCCATGTTCTAAATTCTGGGTTCTGTATACTGTATTCTATATTCTGTAATCTGTGTTCCGAATTCCATGTTCTAAATTCTTGGTTCTGTATTCTATTTTCTATTTTCTTTATTCTGTGTTCTACATTCTGTATTCTGTATTCTGTATTTTATTTTCAACATTCTGTGTTCTGCATTCCATGTTCTAAATTCTGTGTTCTGCGTTTTTTATTCTACTTTCTATATTCTGAATTCTGTATACTATATTCTGTATTCTGTGTTCTACATTCTATTTTCTACATTTTGTATTCTGTATTCTGTACTCTATATTCTAAATTCTCTGTTCTGAATTTCATGTTCTAAATTCTGGGTTATGTATTCTGCATACTATATTCAATTTTTCTGACTTCTACATTCTATATTCTACATTATATATTCTGTATTCTGTAATCTATACTCTGTGTTCCGCATTCCATGTGCTAAATTCTAGGTTTTGTTTTCTGTATTCTTTATTCTGTGTTCTACATTCTATATTCTCCATTCTATATTTTGTATTCTGTATTCTATATTTTTAATTCTGTGTTCTGAATTCCATGTTCTAAATTCTGGGTTCTGTATTCTTTATTCTATATTCTATATTCTGTGTTCTACATTCTATATTCAAAGCTGTATATTCTATATTCTATATTCTAAATTCTGTGTTCTGAATTCCATGTTCTAAATTCTGGGTTCTGAATTCTGTATACTATATACAATATTCTGTGTTCTACATTCTATATTCTACATTCTAAATTCTGCATTCTGTGTTATTTATTCTCTATTATGTATTCTACATTCTGTATTCTACATTCAATACTCTGTATTCTATATTCCAATATCTGTGTTCTGCATTCCTTGTTCTAATTTCAGGGTTCTGCATTCTGTATTCTATATTCTATATTCTGTGTTCTACATTCTGTATGCTACATTCTATATTCTGTATTCTTTATTCTATATTCTAAATTCTGTGTTCTGAATTCCATGTTCTAATTTCTGAGTTTTGTATTCTGTATTCTATGTTCTATATTCTCTCTTCTACAATCTGTTTTCTCCATTCTATATTCTGTATTCTGTGTTCTATATTCTATATTCTTTATTCTACATTATGTATTCTAATTTTTATATCTGTTTTCGATATTCTATATGCTGTGTTCTGCATTCCATTTTCTAAATCCTGAGTTCTGTGTTCTGCATTCTATATTCTATACTATGTGTTCTACATTCTATATTCTACATTTTAAATTCTGTATTCTGTGTTCTATATCCTATATTCTGTGTTCTGCATTCCATGCCTAAATTCTGGGTTCTGTATTCTGTATTTTATCTTCAATACTCTGTGTTCCACATTCCATTTTCTAAATTCTATTTTCTGTATTCTGTATTCTAATTATTGTGTTCTACATTCTATAGTCTACATTATATATTCTGTACTCTATATTCAAAATTCTGTGTTCTGAATTCTATGTTCTAAATTCTGGTTTCTGTATTCCCTATTCTATATTCTATATTTTGTGTTCTACATTTTTTATTTTATTCTATATTCTGTATTCAATTATTCAGTGAAAACTTTAGGAACTTCAAACAGGCTATAGGAAATAAAATGAAAACCCAGTGTCAGTGTTTCTACTGCTACACATACCATTAGTGCTTGAATAAAGATCCTCTCTCCACATGCTCATTTCTGAGAGGTAAGTTTGTGTGAAAGTCGCCCTTCAGTAATCACCATTGAAAAACAAATATTTTTTGCTTGGTAACTACACTACATATATATATATGGGGAGGTTCTAGCTCCAAATCGGTATAACAGTGAAAACTGCAGGAACTTCAAACAGGCTCTAGGAAGTAGACTGGGAACCCAGAGTAAGTGTTTGAACTGCAACCCATACCATTTGTGCTTGATTAAATTACCTCTCTCCACATGTTCAATTCTGAGGGGTATCTTTGTGTGAAAACCTACTTTCG